GAAAATTTTCCACAAAGCATAAAATATATCCTTTCAAGAAAGTCTGGATATGAATGCACACATATACATAATTCTCAACAAAAACTGGCAGGCAATTTAGAAGCAAATTTCATAAATATGTACCAGAAATTGATGCACTCACCAAGCAGGGTGAACATGCTTGGAATAACCCAAGCAACATTAATGAACAAAAAAACTGGCATAGCAGCACCTGATCTTGCACTATAGTAGCAATATCAAGCAAATGATTAAATAAGCAAAGTTGACATTCTTAAATGCGGAAAGGAAAAGGTATGAATAGGTGCAGCAATGCACTTCTGTGAAGATACAAGTGCAAAAGAAAAAGCAGAGTACGCAAGAAAGAAACAATTAATCGAGTTCAACAACTAAAAAATGCAAATCATACAATGCATGAGCACAAGCCTCCAAATTCCAAGGCAAGTTGTAAAAAAACACATTCTGTATTATACATTTCAAACTTTGTTGTAAGAAAACAGACGCAACTGCTTATGATACAACAAGGGCATAGTTGTTAAAGGCTCAGGGCGCACTAAGGCGCCAAAGGCCTTCTGGAGCCTAAGCGCAAGGCACAGTATAAGGTGAAAGCCAGATCAGAGTAAGGCTTGCATGTATATAACAATGCATATTTAAACATAAATTATTAAATATATTCATCATCAAGCAGTATTTGCAGTTAACATAAATAGTGAACCATAAATTTATGAACTCTTTCAAATATTTTATAAGGTTAAACAATACGATATAGGGTTAAATACACTGACCTACCTTAAGGTTTTCCCTAATTACAAACAGATGAAACTTCTCAAAAATCTTGCACTGACCTCCCCTCTTGGATATTTTTACCTTTATACCCCAAATATTTTAATATTAAAAATGGAAAAAAAAAAAAAAAAATTGATATTGTGAAATGACCACTTTGCCCAAGAGTATAAAACAACACTCTTTTCTTTTCTCCTCTTTTTATTTTTCCTCTCTTGTTTCTCTCTCTTCAATGGCACACCGCCACAGCCACCGTCACCATGGCAATGGCTACACCACCACAGCCACCACAACAACCATCTCTCTCCTCTTTCTTCTTCCCTCTCTCCATTCTCTCTTTCCTCTCTAGCAATGGCACCAAGGTATCCATTCCTCCTCATCTTACTTTCTATCCACCACCCATTTTCACCTCTTCTCTCTTCATCCACCACCATTTCCCCCACCAAATCACCCCCTGCCCCAACCCCATCAATTTGTCTGGTAATAAACTCAAAGGAAAGATACCCACTTTGTTAACTTAGCTCTAAAACCTCGAATTCTAGAATCTTGCTTCGGAAGAGCTAAATGGGAAGATACCCAATTCGTTTGGACACCTATTATTTCTCCAAAACGTGTCGCTAGCGTCAAATTCGCATTCAAGATCAGTAGTACCCAATTCAATGGCGGCCAAACTGACCTTTGCACAAAATCTATATATGGATTCACAACAGGCAGATTTGAATTTTCTTACACACAATATATGTTATATGTAGATGTAGTATGTATATTTAATGAATCAAATGCAAACCCTAACACACCCAGTTCATGTACACTCATCCTTCATTTATGGGTCTTCTTCCATGGTGGGCAAGCCGAGTATATATTTCTCTCTATATATATATTTATGTATATATATATATACGGAAAAGAAATGAATTTTAATAGGCTTTTGAATCATAAAATCCAACAAATCTAAAAACAATTCTCTGCTTTCTCATTAATCAAAAGAGAGGCTTTGAAAATTTTCTTGAAACCTTTAGTGATTCAGATGACCTTGAAAGCTTGAGGAGAAGTGGAACATACCACTCTTTTTTGTTTTCTTATTTTTGGGCAAGGTTATTTTCTAAATGCATCTGGTCCATACAAATGTAGTTCCCCAAAAAGTGGGAGAGAAGAGCATGAATCACATTATGTAACTAAAAGTTATTTTGAATTTACTCCATTACCTGTTTACATATTTGTTTGGGAAGTGTGGCTATGATAAGAAAGAATGTGGGTTGTAGGTGAAGAGAGAGAGAGAGAGGGGTGGGCGGAGAGATAGAAGGCGTGGCAGTGATGGGTGGGATGGAAGGGTATTTTTTGTCCATAAATATAAAGTCATTTGGTAATTTAATGGCATTCTAAGGGTAATAACTTCATTTTAGAAGGGCTGGTGGGAAATTTAGTCCATATATGCCAAAAAAAAAAAAATTGACAAAGGGGAAAATTTGTAGCAAGTGACCAATTGTCAGGGGAACACAATGCAAGATTTTTGAAAAGTTTCATCCATGTGTAATTAGGGCAAACCTCAGGGGAGATCAGTGTAATTAACCCTATGATATATAATATATAACCATTTAATTTAGTATTCATTAAGTAAAAAAAAAAAAACTGACGTGAATAAATGATTAAAAACTACAAGGCGCACCTTTTTTTGTGTTTTTTTTTTTTTTTTTGACCTGGAGCCTACTAAAAAGCGTGCCTGAGGACTTTATGAGAGTCTCGTGACTCTCATTGAAGGGGTCTGGCCTGTAATAGGTTGAGGTGCTCTAGATGAGCCTTGACAAGCCTAAGGCATTTTTAAAGCCTAGGCGCTCCTTTAACAACTATGGACAAGGTAATATCAAACAATACCCTAGTTGCAGCATGATAAGGTTGTAAACAGAACAAATACCTCTACTAAGCCTTATATAATCATTCCTAACAAACATCGTTGTATAGGTACACAAATACATTAAAAAACCTGTAACTAGTTCCTAATCCCATCTCTTCTTCATTTGTTTTAGAAAAAAGATCAATCAAGAAAGTAAGAATGTGTCTTCACATAGTCAGTACCACTAATGTCGCAATATTTCATTTCAATGGAATCAATTCGTTTCAAGAAAAGAATATGCAACTTTATGCATCCAAGAAACACTTTAATGGCCATATAAATTACTAATTAACAAAAGTAGTTATCAGAGGAAGAAAATACTGATAAAACATAATACAGTATCAAAGATAAAATATACATATATATATATTGCAATCAATAAAAATATAGTATATTTTTCTGAAAAAAGTAATGACAGATCTCTAGTAATTTAGTAAGTCATTGAAATTTCAAATGAAATATGTAAAGTCTTAACCAGAATTACCAAAGCATGATTTAGAGTTACTTATCAAAAAAAAAAAAAAAAAGGAAGCATGATTTAGAGTTAAACATTCCAAACAAAGTCAATGTTGACAAGAATGTGGTGTGTAAGGTGGGAAAATTGATACTGTAAGTTAATAAAAGTCACCAATCAATCTAATACCCAAAAAAAAAAAAAAAAATCCACAAATGCCCTAATAATGCAATATAAGAAACTTTTTGGTTGGCACAAAGGAGTTAACTCGATTTAAAATCCAAAGCACCATTCATTTGTCTGCCTACAAAGCAGTTAACTTCCCATAATAGTTACTCAAAATATGTAAGGATTGCTTCACTTTACTAATCTTGTTTTAATTATCTGAACAACATAATCTCCAATCTCTCCCTCTGTGAATGGTTGAACCTGAGTAATATAACTATTTCTTTACAGTATTTATTGACTCTTGATCTTCAAAACATCCCTGCATCATTTCTGAATTTGGTAAAGTTACTTTAGATGTATTCACTTTTAGACCTACTTATCTCAAGCTCTCTTACTCAACTTCTCTCTACACCTCTAAATAAGCATTTACGTGTATTTTAGTTTCATCAAACAACACATCATCAACAAAAAGCATAAATCATATAATATCACCAAAATGAATTTGTCAATTAATTCATAATTATTAACAAAAAATATATATATTTTAATCTTGCTTGTTTTCACTCTACAATCAATTTGGGTAACTAGGTTAGTTTTAATTTAGTTTAGATTTGTATTAGTTTTCTTCAAAACATTTCCTGGGGTTCGACCTCGTCCTGGCCTATCTATATTCTAATAGATTCTTGCGCTTGCGAGTATATTTTAAAATCAACATCAACCTTATATTGATTCTTGGTTTAAATTTACATTAATTGAAAATTCACTCTAAAATCCTCTCTACTATATTTCTATTAACATTAATTGAAAATTCACTCTAAAATCCACTCTACTATATTTCTAAGAACCCTATCATAAGTTTACTCTATAAATACAAAAAAAAAAAATCATATAAGCATTCTTAGAAGGTATATAACTTCCACTGTTATGATCTCAGTAAACAATTTTATTAGCATAGACATGCCCCTTTGTATTTTTATATTCTTCAATCAACTTTTAGTTCATGTACCCTGATCTTACAAAATAGACTTTATTTTCCACAACCATCTTCAAGTCATAATATTCTTTTAAACTTAGCCTCCTATAATATGTTCTCAAAAGAACTCTTTTTACCTTCTTTGTCTTGTGCTCTCTCACAAGCCCCTTAAAATCCTCAATCTCAAAGCACTTAATAATAATATCTAATGTTCCTCCTTTAACTTATCAATTCTTTACATTCTTCTCACATCATTTGTACCTAATTTAGTATGCTCTATCCTCAACCTATCTTACTACCTTTTAACCTTCTTCTCGGGATATATGTAATTTTAACTTTCTTGATTACCCTTTGATAGTTACATCTAAAACCATCAATTCATGTTCCAAAGTAAAAGTTCCAAATATCCAGATGGTTCAATCTTAGGTATCCGAATTATTATTAAAGCTAAAAAACGAAGAATTTAGAAAATAAAATATATCAATAATCGGGAACCCTAGGTATAAATTAACAGAAGCAAATCAAGGGAAACATCTTACAACGAAATACATGAGAATCCGCTCAGTTTTCACACGTCTAGCTCCAGGGTTAAATCAAGGCCAAATCACCACAGGTCAGGTCGTAGTTTACTATGGGTGTAAAATCAAAATTCTCATTCTTTTCCAACATTTTCTAAGCAACCAAACAGAAATGCACCAACATAAAATTATTTTTATCAAATCAAGTGAAATTACCTTCCAACGCAGTCTTTGAGAACCTGCTCAGTTTTCTCGCACTTCCTGACGAATTTCCCGGGCTCGACCTCTTCGGTTTTGCACTGCGATTTCACGATCTTTCTTGTAGAGCACCGGTCGCCAAAACTAGGGTTCGAGTCTTTGGATTGACTACCGTCACCGGACTGAAAATCGCCCGATTCGTCCTTCCAAACCCAACCCATCGCAAAATCAAGAATTGTTTTTCTACGGTAACCGTGCCAGAGAGTTCTGGTTTAGGGTTTATATACCGAATAGGAGAAAAAAATATTTTACGCACGGCACGGGTATAAAAAGTGTTGTATAAAAAATAGGACAAATTGCATAAAACCCCCTCTTATTTTTAATTTTGACAAGAAACTCCTTGGAGAAAAAACTTGACATAAAAATCCCCCCAATATCTAATTTATTGCAAAGTAATATTATAATGGAGCAAATGCCCTTTAAAATAAATTTTAAAATTATTTTTATTTTTTTACGTTTTATTTTTTTTAAATAGAACTTTAAGAAAATTTTAAAAAATGCACACCATTAAAATGAAGTTATAATACGAAAATGTCCTTTAATATAAATTATAGAAAATTTAAGTGGTCTTTTAAATGATTTTTATTTTAGATTTTTTTTCCCTTTAAATTTAAAATAAATTAAAAGTATTTTTATTTTCTTATAGACACCATTAAAAAAAAGTTTCGAAAACATTTTAACACCACTATGCCGAATGAGTTATTTGTATTAACTTTAATTTCATATTAAGAGAAACTATTTTCTAAAATTTATATTAAGAGACGTTGTCATCATAATAACATCACTTTTTAATAAATTGAATAATTAAAAGGGTTTTATGTCTATTTTTTGTGCAAGGTGATTTCTTGCCATAAATTGAAAATAGAAGGGGGTTTTATGTAACAAAATAAGAGAACTCCCTTATGTATCTTTCTTCGATCAAATATAGAAACATACATATATTATCCTCCTATTTTATTTCATTTTCCTTAAATTCTTTATTTAACTTGAAGGAAAAATATTATATATGAGAGATCTTAGATAAATTTTAATTAGTCTTCGTATGATAATCTTTTATATTGCGAGATCTCTTATTTTAATTCTTTTGATTTCCATTAATAAAACGAGATCTTTCATTGGTAATTAAAAGATTATTATTTGAATTAATATTATAAATGGGAAATAATTTTGATTTAGGCTCGTTTGTTTCACCTAAAATAATTTTTGAAAATCATTTTCCTCATTTATGGTGTTTAGAAGATTTCAAGATTAGGAAATTATTTTTCATATAACTTATTAGTGGAGACCTAAGTATCGTCCTAAATCATTTTAGCCAAAGTTTGTTTGGTTAGCGTCAACTAGTTAGAAAGGAAAAGAAACGGAAATTTTTAAATTGTTTTGTAGTTTGGTTAGCGTAAAAAGAAGAGTTTTCAGGAAAGTGATATTGCCGCTGGTTGATTTTCCTTAAAATGTTTCCTCATAAAGCATGCGAAAATTTCAATTTCCTATGAAAGTTGTATCATTATATGTTAGTTTTCAATTATACCCTTATTAGTTATTTATCTTCCTTCTTTTTCAGACTTACAAAAGGAGGACTTCTTTTTCATAAATTAGGATTCCTAATTATATTACAACTTTCTAACTCTTTAAATTAGGACTCCTAATTAAGTTATAATTTTCTGACTCTTTAAATTAGGACTCTATATATATGCACGCACATATATTTTTATTCATAAAATAATTATTTATATTTTTTATTATGCTTATTGCAAGATGTATATTACTTAGTATTGAATTTATAAGGGTAGTTTTGGCATATAAATTATTTTCTTTTCACTTTCTTGTTAACCAAGCTAATGAAACAACATTTTCCAACAAAAGTTTTACAAAAAAATTATGCTAACCAAATGCATGATAGAAACATAATTTTATTTTTTTTCACTTCACTTCCTTTTCCTTTCACTTTCCACTATCAATTTCTAGCTAACCAGACGAACCCTAAATGATTGAAAATAATTTACCAAAAAATGTTTCCATAAGTCACTTTAACAGACTATCTTGGGTTATCTAACCATGGGTATTCTTATTGAACCTCTGTATTTTTCTAACAACTAATCTTTTTCAGTTTTCCCAATTTAAAAATATATTCGGTCTTCTATATAGAGTGAGAGGAAAGAGAAAAATGAGAGGAAAGAGAAAAAGGGACACAAATTTAGGTTGGCAAGAAACATATTTGGGTCGAGAGCATGTTTGGTATAAAGAGAGTGGAGAGAGAGTAATGAGAAGGAGAGGGAGAGACGGTTTAGCGTAGAAAGAGAAAGTAACGAGGTTTAAGGGGTATTATTCCTTGTTGGTGAGGAACACGAAAGAAAGAGAATAAAATGTGTACAAAAGCTTGCCATACACCGAAGAATAAGAAATAAAAATAATATTTTACATAAAAATATTTTACAAGAAAACATTTTTTGTTGGTGAGGAATACGGAAGAAAGAGAATTAAATGTGTACAAAAGCTTGCCATACACCGAAAAATAAAAAATAAAAAAAATATTTTACATAAAAACATTTTACAAGAAAAACATTTTACATTCAAATAAATAGAGCCTTAATAAAAAAAAATATGTACAAATGTTAACGAATTTCTTCGGGTATGTATGGCCCAATTATATAAGGTATTTGTTTTGTTGTTAATTGAAATTCTCATCCTTTTTATTCACACCATGCTCAAACTCCTTCCTTCTCCTTCAAGAATGTCCACTATTTACTTTTCGGCTAGTAATTTACCGTCATTGAAACATTTTAGGGCTAAAATCGTAAAACTCCTCTCTTATTTTCAAAAATATCATATGATCTATCAAAAAATCTCTGAACTAGCAAAAACTATCACATTGCTCATTTCCGTGACGGAACTGTTAAGTTGTTGCGAAATGACAATAATAATCTTGATAATATATTAAAGTAATATTTTATTAAACTGAAATTGTAGTGTGAGAAGGGCAATTTTGTCATTACGAATTACAAGGTTATTTTGGTCAGCAAAATAATGCAACTGTTACACGTGATACAATCCCATTAGTTCTAGACAAAAAACTAACGGGGAGGAGATTATATGATAGACTTTTAAATATCAATGAATATTATAGTTTCTTTAATTAGTTGGGGGGTTAGTTGATAGTTTTTGAAAACAAAAAGAAAGTTTTATGATTTTAGCCCAACATTCTAATACATTTTCAGAATTTTATTAGTTCACTTGATATTGATATAAAATGTGATAAATCTTCTTTATTGATAAATGGAGATTATCGCATGCATATATTATCACATCTATTACTGGATGACTTACGATGAATCAAGAACTAATTTATAATTTTATCTCTTTTTTATTACCAAAAAAAAAAAAAAGGATTAAATTTTTTGAATACATACCATCATTCCAAACTTGCATCAAGTGTGTGAAGAGTAACAAGAGCCATAAGCTCTTCGATACTTAACCACCGGATAAATAAATGATAGTCTTTCATTACACACAGAATAGAACTTGCCCATTGTATTAAAAACCTTCAGTATTTAATTAGTATAACTCATATAAAATAATTTAACATCCACAAAAAAACCAGGGGCGGAGGCTGTCAGAGTAAAAGCAATTTTCGGACTCACTAAGTAAGAAAGGCAGGCTGGTTGGTTAGAGAACTACTATAAAAGTTGGCACATTTGTCACACAATAAGTAGCATCCACACATTCATTATAGATATACCTAGTTATATTTATCACCATAGTAGCCAAGTAAAAGCCATTACCGTGTTGCCCCCAAAGTGGCTATTCTCATATTCCAAACTTTTACAGCTATACCAAACAAGAACTTCAATGGTTAACTACTACAACAACAACAAAATTCGTTACGTAACATACTTTTAGACAAGCAATGTACAGAAGGTGATGCATAAAAGCTCAGTTTTGTACATCGATGTTTTGGTATCTAAGAATCTCGACACCAAGGTAATCAACAGGTCCATGGACGGCAACATGAGGCTTCCCAACCTTCACACGAACTGCAGATATACATGAGTACTTGGTCAGAGTCGTCGACGCGATGAGTTCAGCCACTGACTCGAGAAGGTTATGGGGTGGTCCCTCTAAAACTTCTCTAACCACACTGCCAGAGCACGATCAACCATCAGAAGGATTGTCAACCAGAAGAATCATATACAAGCTATGCTATTTTGTTTTGCTGGTAACCATCTAACAATAACATAAAAGGGAAAGACTTCATTGTTTTCTTTCACCATCCAAAGGATAAACCATGAACTGAATAAAGAGTATGTTGTTTATAAAAGTGAAAGTCTGAGGTTTTGTGGATCAAAGATTTCAAAGGAAAAATAGGCATTATTTCCCCTAAGCTTCAGAATGAGTTCATGCGAGTCAATGAAAAAGGATCTAATTAATATTCCAAAACTAAGGCTGCTTAGAGCATGAAGACCAGGAATAGCAGTTTTTTTAGCCGAAACGGTTTTGGGACTCTAATGTAGAAGGTGATGTAAATACATCTTTTGAAGGCCCAAAAACCATGCAGCTTTTGAAACTCTCAGTGGTCGGTCCAAGAAGCTCAGCTTATGGTTTTGGAACTCTAATGTAGAAGGTGATGTAAAATACATCTTTTGAAGGCCCAAAAACCATGCAGCTTTTGAAACCTCAGTTGTCGGTCCAAGTAGCTCGGCTTATGGTATTTTGATTTGCAAAAAAGGATGAAACAGCACAGCTCAAGTTGATGAGGTTTGCTCTTTCAATAAAACATGCATAATTTTGAAATATGACTGGAGTTTATGCATACGCTAGCGTTTTAGCTTCAACATATTATCCATGAAAAAAAGATGCAAATATACCAACACGTGTATAGTGAAGCCTGAAGGTAGAAGCTTTGCACCACAGCCCATAGCCTTCTGTATTAACTATTTTATAGTTCAACAGTGCTAAGAAATAATCCTCTAGCCTCAACCCTCCCTTTTGGAAGCCATTCCAGCATTTTACCACTCAGCTTCAACGGCTTATTTTCCTCTAAATCTGCTATAAGTAATTATATTTCTTTTACAAACCTATATTTCAACTTCAAGAATTTTTTATAGCAGCACAAGTCCATGTGTGACATATGGTAGTGTATTACTTTATGCATACGCACCATTCCCGTCATTTGGACATAATTTTTACCGTACAACTTTGCAAAAATCAACAAAATAGAGTTGAAGCATAACTAAAAAAAGAAGGCAAGAATGTGGTGATTTCAAAAAGTACTCACATGGAGCTATGGTAGGAACTTTCTTTCAGAATATTATCCTGAAGTTTCAAAATTTTGGATGTTCTAGAAAATTGGTTTAATTTGGCTGGAAGTATGATGAAATACATTATGATTTATGGAGCCGTGGAACACTTTTGACTAACTTCTGAGAAACAAGTGCAATATTTTGGAAATTTCATTCTTATGATTTGATTGATTCAGCTTTTCTCAAAGTGAGATAGGTGAAGAATGTTTATAGTTATCACTCACCGGTATATCTCAGTATAACTGATAGTATCTGATAATTGGTCAGATTTACCAGCTGCTCGGAGATCCATCCAGGCATCTACATCTACAAGGAACTTCTGACCCAGCTTCCTTTCTTCTGGCTTCACCCCATGAAACCCATGGAACTTCAGCCCCCTCAACACAAGTTTGTCTCCCTTTATTATGTCCCCATAATCCATTATTACTCCTGATGAGAATCATTATTGTCAGCCATGCATTCCTTAGATTGAAAGATGGCATGAAACATCCACAAAATAGATTTGATGGGAAGCACAATCTTACTTAATCCACTTGAATGCTTAAGTGAACATATTCAATAATTCTAAGCAAGTAAAATATGAAACAGAGACAATTTATAAATTGATGTTATAATTAGATTGAAAGACAGCAAAAACAAGAAGAAAGCCAATAACAATAAGAAACAAGCAAATATTTCCAAGTTCTGCTTGCGAACTTTTGACATTTCAACATCATAAGATCGTATTTCAAATATGCATCAGCATTTCAAGTCCCAGCTCAATGATGAGCTTCATAGCAGAGCTAATTTTTATTTTCACAACAAAATGGACAATAATGCCGATCCCAAGTGGTTGGGAAAAAGTTTGTTAAGTTAATGTACTAGGCAATAATGATTAACATGCCTGTGATGCAATGAATGACCCACAACTTCCCAGCAATCACAACCATTAAGTAAATAGAAAATTAATTGGAAAATAAGTGATGAAGAAAGAAGGTCAAGCGCTAGATAATAAAAGCCTTGCAAAGATTTCAACTGGGTTTGAATCGACGGCTAAATTTCACTTCTAACATGCAAAAAAAGGAAGCATATTTAGATAACAAGGAAATCTTAAAATTTATCCACAACAAAAATCCATCGAAGGCGCAACAGAAATGCTTTTAGCTTTCGCATCTTTACCGCCCATCAGAAACAAATATAAGAACCATCTCATCATCTATTCAAGCCATATAATTTTGATCATAATTTGAAGACAAAGCTTTACATTCTCATTCTTTTCTGTCACTAAGTAAACAGAAAATTAATTGGAAAATAAAATCACCATTATATTAAGAAATTGAAACAAAAAGAACAATTGAGCACTATGGAGAATTAAAATTCTAAATTTTAATATGAAATGGCAATATTAACTCTCAAGCTGCGCCAAATAAACAAAGGAATTGTTGAAATGAAACAATCCCTGAAATTTTCAATTAAGAGAGAAAGAGAGCACTATGGAGAATTAAAATTCTAAATTTTAATATCGCCTGAGTTCTGCATTAGAAAGTTCCTCAATTATGCAAAAAGAGAACTAAATGAACATTGACAGCCACTTCTATGATATGGGTTTATGAGAATGTAGTCTTACGAGGCCTTTCCATACAAAGAATTTCAAAATTTTATGAGCCCAAAAACTAATTTAGTAAAATATCACACAGACGGTGATTTATTCAGAGCACATAAAAGATTTAATTTCCAATATCCATTAAAACTAATACCCATCATATATGAACTCATGAAACAAATACATATACATGTCGATAGATATGCATGATATGCGCCTGTGGGCGAAAAAATAACAAATCGAAACAGATAGCTATATGTAACTTAATATGAATAATTCAACTGTACGTACCAGTGCCGGATGAGGTCATGACTGTTAACGTCGCCAAGTAATCCTCACTCCGGCGCCGGAGACAAACTTAGGGTTTCGCGGATATTATGCCTTTTGCTCTCTCTAGACTTCACAGCTCGCTCTGTTCAACAACCATAATAAATGAATCCGAAAAGCCAATCCTTTGATCCTCTCATGGGCCGTCGTTGTGGTCCGCCAAGGAAATCAGTTGTCCGACCGTATGACTATGCCCAGTTGGTTCTTGGGCTGAGATTTTGGCCCAAAAAAGAAGGTCATATCACAAATTTATTATGTTTCTGGTCACCAGAATGCCTTAAGAAATCTCGCTCAGGACGGAGCTAGGATGTAAGGTAAGGGGGCAAAAATGAATTTTGGGAGGTAATAGTACATTCTTTTTATAATTTTAGTGGGGGCAAATGTAATATTTCATGGGTATATTATTGAAAATGAACAAATTATAAGGGTAGAATACTAAGAAAAAAAAAAAAAGGAAAATTCAATGGGGCCAATTGCTCCCACTGCCTTCAATGTGGATCCGTCCCTGATCTCGCTTAACCGATTCCATTGTAGAAGACACAATTTTTTCTGAAGAATTCGTCATCATATATTTGATCCATGCATAATATCATAAAAAATGGATACAAATTTTTGACATACCATGTTGATTAATGATTATGGACTATTTATGCCCCATTTTTTTAATTTTTTTTTTCATTTACCAATTTGTCATGATATATTTGATCCATGCATAATATCATGAAATATGGATACAAATTCTTTGTCAGTGACAAAGGTATAAAAAATCTAACACTTACAAATGGATGATTAAATTTGTGCAACACCTATGCTCGGACTATTTGGGTTATGTCTATCCAACTCGTTTTACTGTTATGCCCTACACCTAAAAACCTATAAATAGAAAAGAAGGGGTAAAAAAGAATCCATGATTACCATGTACTCCTAGGTTTTTTTATATGCATAAAGAGAGTGCTAAAATTCATATTGATTTAATAATAGTATATTAATTTGTTGTTGGATTAATTATTTGGTCTCTCATGTTCTTTCACTCCGAATTATGCATGTGGCTTGAACTTTTTACATGTCCAAATGATGAAAGATCATTCTTAATCTGTTTTAAGAACAACAATTGTAAATATTGGCGTGTGTATTTGATTAGTTAACATGTATGGTATATGTGATGGTCCAAGTGCAGACACAAGAAAACATGGTTGCAGGCACATTTTGCTACTTTAACAGAAGTGGAGAGCTGATGAGATGAATTTGTCTATTTGATTTGGAACTGTAACACCATTCAAAAACAAATTTGGTCGCCCAATTTGATAGCACCATTCCTGGGATTCCTCATGACCAACCCCACACACACACACACACACAAAATGAAATGAATAAATGGTGGCCCTTCAAGTTGAATTTTATAGCCCTCGCTTGCTAGCTATCTCCCACCATACATACTACTGCCCTATAATCACGTGTGCCTTCCATTCTGAATCCAACCCATTATGTTTTTCACCACCAAAGAGAGATTCACTTTTCTTCAAGCATTTGAATCAGAATCAGTTACACATACACATCAAATGGGAACAAAGTTATATAGTATTGGTTGATTGTCAAGAACCACTTAAATTTGTCTGTACCAAATATGAAACCTATGTGTTCCTCTGGTTTTTTCATTTTTGTGAAATGGTTTGTCTTATAGTGAAGTTGTGTTTGGTCACATTAGGACTCCCGTGAGAAAAATGTGCATTTTATGTACTACTTGCGGAGGATATGTACCCCCAATACTGTTAGTTGAGTGTGTTGGCTCTTCCATCCTAGTTGTAGCTGGCATTGGGTTATGTCATGCTTGTCCTTCGGTTGGAATTGGATGGATCATTTTCAAAAGCCCAATAAATAAGTACTCCTATTGACTAATGCCCACATAGCATAAGCATGATCTCTCCGCCCTAAAGGCAGGTTGAATGATCGATTTTTTTTAAAAACAATGTTGTGTGCGTGTGTGCCTTTGCTTCCGAGCGTGACGTTTGGCATAACACCAAATTAAGAATTAGACCTGATTTTAATACTAAATGTAATTGTTTGAATGATGTTTTCACTACTTTAATAAAGTTAGCATTCAAATTTACAACTAAATTATAATTCAAGACAAGGTGGGGAAGCAACAAGATGACATTAAAAGAAGAAGAAAAAAATCCTAATTTTTGAGATATATATACATAGTAAATTTGGTCTATTGTGATGTGAACGGACATAATATAAAAAGTAAAATTATATTATCTAATACTTCTTAATTTGCCGTCAAAGGTTGATTGCGTTGGTTGGTGATCAATCGCAGTTGAGAGGCACATGGAATGATCAATCGGCTTTCTCTTATATCTTTGTCTTTCTTTTTCTTTGCCGCACAATCGCACACACATAATATGTATATATGGTGGTTATTTTTTGTTCTAGCTGTAGGCCCACCTTGCATTAATTTTGTTTTGTGGCTGCCGTTGAACTTTGTCACTTTATGAGGCCTAATGGGCTTTGGGGGTTAACATCATGTTTCTTTTTTTTTTAAATAAAAAAAAAAAAAATTCTTTGGGGTTTCTTTCAATGTCTTGGATTTTTAAAAGAATAAATGGAAAATATAAACTAAAACTTCACTATCTTGCTATCTGTCTGTACATATATATGTATCTATCAGTATGTGTGTGCGTGCATGAATATGTATATGTTATGTATATACAATATACATGTATATAGGTAAAGTATTGTGTGCTGCTTTGTTAGACGTGACATTCTTGTTACCATTCTTACAGAGAATCTCGAGGATCTCTTCTACATCAAAACCTCTCTGACACAAATTTTGTTTTTTGTTTTTTTCGCTTTTGACAAAAATCATATACTCATTTGGCTCTATAACAACCGGAGCCAATGAACTTTCACAGATTACTTGGTGTTAAAAATTAACTATTTTAAATGATAAATTTTATTGCTATATAAGTTTAGGAAAATGATGCTTGCAAAGAAGGGATAAATTGATTTTTTTTGATCTAATTCATGTGACTCTCTATGTGAATATATCATGTCGCAATATTTAAAGCGATAATTATTAATTTTCTCTCTTTTCAATTTTTTTACAATTTTTTCTTATCTTCATCCCAAGAGTCACATATATATATATATATCTATACTACTAATAAAAGTGGATTCAATATATATATTTATATACACTTTAAAATACTTATTTTAATTAAAAAATATTTTAAAATGATTTTCACGTACCATTTTCATCTCTTACCAAGGGACGCAAACTTTGGCAAAACTTTCACTTCTATTGGTTCTATTATAAGATAGGATATCTGATATGAAATTTAAACATTTTTTTATTATTTATATATATTTTTAACAATTTTATATTACTTTGTATTTCAAATAAAACAGTGAATTAATACCTTTTGGACTGAATTTTTGTTATTAATAATTTAATTTTGAAACACGCAACGTTTCATTATATTGATCTGCACATTGCTTCCTTTCTTCAAAGAATACATACGTTCATGGCTTCCCTTTTTGAAGGGACACAAATGTTCGGCAAAAGTTGCACATCGATTGATTGTCATATATATAAGTTAGGAAAGAACTAATTCAATAGGAAGTTTTGACATGAAAACATTGAAATAGAAGAAAGACAAAACGAGGTCCGGAGATGGTTGTTAACAAAGAAGAGTAGTTTGGGAGCAATGACTTGATCAATTTGGTTGTTGATTGAATCTTGTTGATAAAGAGTTGCAGAAATCATTCAGAAAAGAAAGAAAGAAAAAAAAGAGCCACAGATAGATGAGAGAGAGTTTGAGTTTCTTTTTTCTTTTTTTTTTTTCCTTTTTTTTTTTTTTTGGATAAACTACAATGACACCCCTATCGTCACCATTTAACACTATCCAACTTTGTTTCACAGAAATACTATGGTAAATCTTCACGTGAAACTCATACTCTGTATTCCTTATTGAACTAATTTTTGCAATTTTAGGGTTATGTAACACAATATATGGATGATAGCCTCAATGATGGATCACCTAATAAGTTTCAAGTTTTTTTTCTTTTTCTTTTACTATATATATATATATATATATATATATATATATATATATATATATATATATATATATTGGTTTCCTTAGTGTTTAAAAATTTTAACATTAAATAATTGAATCAATCTTCACTAAAAACAGTTGATATCAAATTAGTCTACCTCAACTTTCCACTCACATCAAATAATCCGATTAATTCTTCGCAATATCAAATAGGCATCAAACCGGAGTAACCACTTTGGCCTGTGGATTTATGGTAGATACACAAGTTGGCCTCAATGATGCATCACCCAATAAGTTTCAGGTTTTTTTTTTCTTTTACTATATATCATGTATAGATATATATAAATATATATATATATATATATAGGTTTCCTTGGTGTTTAAAAATTTTAACATTTTAATATTCGTCCTATCATTTTAAGTCTCTTCCTAATCCGAATTAATATTATTACATCTTTTCTATTTTTTTTTTGATGAACACACACACACACACACACACATATCTCTTTCTATTGGACTTAAGAAAGTATTATATACATTTTAACACTCTTCTAAACTAAACAAATTACTAATATTTTTTAAAAGTGGATAGATTGTTGATAAAGAGTTAGCTTTAAATTCAAACACCTTTTAAACCAATTTCCTATTCTCCTTAGTTCTTCACATTGATGGTTACGTAATTAAGTTAAATCACATCTCGAATGAAATTAGAATTGAAATTTTATTTTTCAATAAAAATAAATGATAGTAGATATAACAAATTCACTAATATATCTTTCATTATCAAAGTGAACAGTTGTGCCATTTTTATCTGTATATATAAATTGTTTGCATATTTTACAATTTTGGACATACATGTGTAGTTAATTATAATTAATGAAAAAAATTCACGCCCATGTAAGTTTTATACCAAGTTTTAACAATGAAGGAATTGCTTTCACATTCAAAATAATACCTCTTCTAACAAAAAAAATTGGATTATGGAAAAAAAAAGAAAAAAAAATTCTCATGCCCAACATGCAAGTGTGAAGTGACATAGATTTAG